ACTGGCCGCTGAGCCTGCGCGTCCGGAGCCTGTGCTCCGCAACGGGAGAGGCCACAGCAGTGAGAGGCCCGCGTACCGCAAAAAAAAAAAAAAAAAAAGTCATTAGGAATAGCATTTTCAACTAAATACAGAACACCCTCGGTTATTTATGGCAGAAGAAGGCAGAAACAGCACAGATAAATATAACCGAAATTCAAGTATTCTCAAAATATATTGACTTTTGACAGCAATCTTCTCCCTACCAGTTTTTCTTTTTTCACTGCAGAGGCTGCCATGGTAGGCACTGAAGAGATGGTGACGGGCCACCTCCCCACCTCCTAGGTCATGCTCTCGTGAGTTGCTCATGGTCAAGGCGGCAGAGGCGGGGATGGTGGCCAAACTCCAGATATCTAAACAAGCCCTGAGTCAAAGGAGAGTTATCTGTATGCGTGAAACCCTTGGACAACTGGGGTTGAAAGTTATGAAAAACGCCAGGAGGCCTGAATGTGTGCCCTGACCTGTGTGTTGACCCCGTCCATCTGGTCACCTCCTTGTGCATGAGTCATCCTCTGGCATCCAATTCCATTCTCTTAATTACTTTTTGGAATTCAGCCAGCCGTGCTGAAAGCTGTCATTGTAGTCATTCTAATCAGTCCGCTAAGAGGGGAACGTGGCTGAAGGTCAGATGGGAATCTTTCTACTACTGGAATGAACCCCGGCAAAACAATTCCAAAAAGTATTATGCACAAGATAATGGAATCTGGTAATCAGCACAAATAAACTAGCTTTGTGTGAAAACACACACACACACACACACACACACACACACACACGAAACAAAGCAAGAGACCCACTCATGGAACAGAAGTAGACGAGAGCAAAACATCTTGATCTGGCGAGACAGGGCTCAAGGAAAACCACCCATGGAGGTCCAGACACCTGAAAACACAGCCCCAATCACATTTAAATAGCTAAGGTTTAAAAGACAATCGTTCACATCAGCCAAAAATAATTAAAGACTTTATACAGCAATACAGATCCCCTGAAGTTTCGTCCTTCTCTCAGGCGTGTCTTCCTCATGGAGTCCAAACAATAGGGAAACAAAAGTTTCCTTTTCCATCTTTACAGTTTTTAGAATGTTTTTCTTTTGTTTTTTTTTTTCTTTTTTTTTTTTTGCGGTACGTGGGCCTCTCACTGTTGTGGCCTCTCCCGTTGCAGAGCACAGGCTCCGGACGCGCAGGCTCAGCAGCCATGGCTCACGGGCCCAGCCGCTCCGCGGCATGTGGGATCCTCCCGGACCGGGGCACGAACCCGTGTCCCCTGCATCGGCAGGCGGACTCTCAACCACTGCGCCACCAGGGAAGCCCTAGAATGTTTTTATTTTTATCAGTAAAAAATTTCAGACTGTTAACCGACCTTTGAAAACACGGAGCGTATTCATTTAGCTGAAAAATAGCAAAATAAGCCGAAATATAAACAAAATCAGCTGGAAAACGCCGGTTTCACTTACTGCAGACGCACTAGCAGCGTCCTGTGTGTACTGAGCTCACTCTGGTTTCGAGTGTTGTAAGCTGCTGCCACGTCGCTCAGAGCTTCATCTGATGTGTGTATAACTCCCCCTGTAGCAATTACGGAGGTCAGGTAGGTGCTTCTGGCTTGCAATGTAAATGACTTGTCCAGACTGACTGTCCTGAGGAACGAGGTGGGGACCAGTTCAAGACTGTTCTTCCTGTTGAGCTTGGTTCCTGAGTCCTCGTTCGACTGTGACTGTAATGAGTGAATGCTCATCACGTGAGCTGCCACCCTTCCCGTGGCTGCAGGTCAATGCCGCGGTACCAGGCAGGGGTGTGCTCTGCAGGGCGTCCCGTGGGTCTCCTACTCCGGTCTCCTAGGATGGAGAAGGAGAGTCTACAGGACTGAACATAGCGGTGCTGCAAATTCCCAGCTGGGCAGGGGCGTAAAGGAAAACCTCGGCGGACCCACCGCCTCCCTATCGGAGTCTCTAACAATCACTCAGTCAGTGTTGTCTTAAGGTAGAGAATGCAGAAGGCTGCACACGTGTCTTAATTTCGGTAACACACTAGCTACGTTGGCAAAAACAGAGTAGTGCTGTGGTAACAGCTTAACCAAAAGGTCTGTTAATAATAGAATTCAAAACATGTTAAATAAATCCGTGATACAGTTGCTTTCATTGTACCTGATTTCTCATCATGGAGAAATGCAAGAAATCATGTAAAAGGCATAATTAATATCAAATACTTTATATATTCATACACATATATATATACATACACAGACTGAAGAACCTATTATGATTTCAGAAGACAAAAGTGAATCGTGGGACTTCCCTGGTGGCGCAGTGGTTAGGAATCCGCCTGCCAATGCAGGGGACACGGGTTCGAGCCCTGGTCCGGGAAGATCCCACATGCCGCGGAGCAACTAAGCCCGTGCGCCACAACTACTGAGCCTGCGCTCTAGAGCCCGCGAGCCACAACTACTGAGCCCGCGAGCCACAGCTACTGAAGCCTGCACGCCTAGAGCCTGTGTTCCACAACAAGGGAAGCCACCGCAATGAGAAGCCTGCGCGCTGCAACGAAGAGCAGCCCCCGCTCGCTGCAACTAGAGAAAGCCCACGTGCAGCAACAGAGACCCAACGCAGCCAAAAATAAATTAATTTATTTATTTAAAAAAAACAAAAGTGAATCGTGTTCAGGAGCTACCAAAAAAGAAGAGAATCATGCCCCAAACCCTAGGAAGTGAACAGTCAGTGACGTGTGAACAGACTATTTTCCTAGATCTAGTCCCTGTGTAACCGGCAGTGGGGTCCAGCCGCTCGCTGCTCAAAAGCCAATAAAGAGGCCAGGTTGGTGGAAAGGAAAGTTTGCTTTATTTTGGAAGCTGGCAACCAGGTGGTGGCGGGGGACACCTGTCCAAAGGCCGACTTCCCCCTCCCCCGACAGTTGGGGGCAAGTGCTTTTATAGACGGAGGGAGGGGGCTCCGTGCAGAACCAGCACAGGTAGCCCCGACAGGCATCTTGAACTTGGTCATTGGTCGTCTGACCAGCGTCATCTTGATGGTTTTAGGTACAGTGAGTCTTCAGTTCCAGGGTCGGTTTGTTCCCATTTCCTTGAGGCCAGTTCTCGGAATTGTGGCAGCTCATGTCATGGCTACAGCCTGGTCATCGTGTAGTTCACTTCTCCACCTGGTGTGGGTTTCCGTGTCTACAAGACGGCTCCCAGGACACGGCTCAGGATATGATCTATAGCCCTTGAGGAGGAACTGAAGGTCCCTGATTATGCTTAATGACTGAACTATTATTATTTGGTCTCCTTTGTTTTCCTTTGCTTCCGCATTTTCTCACTTCTCTGATTAAACTTCTTTGCTAAAGCTTTTCCGCAGACAGAAGGCAGGCGGAGGACATGGCGGGGCGGGCAAGGACCATAGGGCCCTGCTCTGTTTCACCTGTTCAGTTATATTTTTCTTGTGCAAATGTCAGCGATTAATACTTTAGAAACCTGCCGTACTCCAAGAGCATCCAATTTCTTTTTCAGAGGAACTGAAGTCTATAGACCATATGCTTCCTAAGTATATTTTTAATAAGCAGTGCATTCACAGTTAAAATATACTGTACTTTTAATACACCCTGGGTTTCCTAAATTAAGAAAACAATGCCCCTTCTGATTTAAAAAGATAAAAATTACATAGCTCCACATCTAATAAATTCTAAATCATGTAATTAGCATAAGGAAGGCCTCATAACCTTGATCAATGACCCCAAAGGAGGATTTCACTGGGTTTGGTTTCTTCCTCTATAATGTTTGGTCTTTGCATTTATCTAGTTATTTACCTGTCAGGTGAAAAGGCCCGAGGGTATATACCATTCTAAACAGGAGGACTCTGTTCTTGCTGACCGACTGTGCAGATCTCCACCCCCCGCCCGCCCCATTTTCCCCAGTTATTTTGGCTACTGACCTTGTAGAGCAGAAGGAAATGGAACGCATTTTCTCTGTGTCCAGATGAGAAAAATGAATAACTAAAGAAACAAAACTTGGCGCTCTAGAAAGGAGACTCCTCTCCCTGGTTTCCCTGCAAGGAGAAGATGAACAGCTGTAAAGTATGTTCCATAGGTGACCCCCTTTCCCTCCATAGAAGTGACAGTGGAAGCAGTGCCCTTGGTCGGGTAGTGAGGGAAGCAGTTCACCTGTAAAGGACGATGTTTATTCGCAGCACAGGTGGCCTCGGGAGCCGACGGGCCAGTCACGAGCCCCGGCTTTGCACGTGGCGTGCGGACCCTTCCTCCTTCCTGACAAAGACCCCCTCCCACCCCGGGCCAGGACATTCCACATCAGGGCAGAGGGGGGAGCGCCCACTCCCAGGTCAGACCAGCAGCTGGAGATAAGTTCTTCCTTGAGTCTAGCCTGCCACCAAGAAAGAGAAGGACCTCTCGGTCGCCCACTTTGGTCCCTGAGAAGACAGATTTCCATGGACACATTCCACAGAGGCCACTGTTCTCTCCCCATGAGGTCTGATTCTCGTACAGCCTCTAGTATACGTTCTCTGGAGGAAACAGTGCAGTGACATCACAGCCACTCATGGAAAGACGCTGGTGTTCTGAGCCCTTGTTGTGTGGTCAGAACAGTATAATTTACTAGCAGATGTTCATTCTCTCTCTCTATATTTAAATGTGTGCATATGTAGTGAGATATGATGATATCTAATGATACGTGTGCATATGAGGATTTCAAAAAGAATTCTCTTTGGAAGCTCAATGGTAGGTAGACTTGAAACTCAACCCTGCTAGGAAGTCATTAATTTGCTGTAATGCATTTGTTCCCCCTTAGCTATTTGGGGCTAAGTGAGCAGCTTGGTCACCTGTATCAAACTTGGACTAATACACAGATGCGTTTCAGCGTCCAGGTACTCTGGCTCGGCTGTTACGGAAACACACAGAGGGGCTCCGGGTCTCTGGCCCCTGAACAGGCCTGTGCGGCCGTGTCCTAATCCCAAGGGCTCGCCCACCTGCCGCCCCTGGCGCTCAGGCCTGCCCTGCAGGGAGGTCTTCGACACAAAGTCCTTCATCTCTCTCCCTGTCTTCACGCACAGCACACCTAGGGTCATGCTGGTGCCTGTGTTGTGTGCTAGTTATTTGCTTGTCAAACCCATCTCTGTTGAGATGATCCACTTCTGCCTGCATACCAAGCTACCCATGTTTTTAAAAAGACAAAAGTTAAAGTGCCACAGCCTCCCAAAGTGTGGGCGTTTCTAAAACCACACTTCCTGTAACAGCTCATGGTTCTGGGTAAAGCTGGGGGGCGGCCGCGGGAATTACTTAGCACCCTGTCCTTTATCCCACACGCTCCCAGATGAGTACGGTGGGCGGAACCGGCTTTCTCCAGACTTCTACGAAGAGTCGGAGACGGACCCTGGGGCGGAAGAGCTCCCACCTCGGATCTTTGTGGCCCTTTTCGACTACGATCCCCTCACCATGTCCCCGAACCCAGATGCTGCGGAAGAGGAGCTTCCCTTTAAAGAAGGGCAGATCATCAAGGTGGGGGCATGGCTGGGGGTGATGGCGAGGGCACGGTGGGGGGGGGGAAGGGGGAAGGATGGGGAGGGGCTCTCGCCAGACCCAAGTTCCTTCACACATCACACGACAAGCTGCTTTCTTTTGCATTCGACGTTCAGCCTTCCTCTCAGCAGAGGAGGGGGGCCTGAGTCTGCAGTCGGAACGAAGAAGCAGGTTGCTCCCCAGGAGAGGGGAAAGAGCCTTGAGTCCTAAGTTTGCAAATTTCCAAAAGGGCACTGACAACTCGCCTTTGAAAGTGGTCCTAATGTTTGTCTGATAAAACGGGGCCTTTAAAGGATGGTGATGCTTACCCCACAGAATGGTACCCGCAGAATCTCTGTTAGTTGAGATTTTTTCACTTCTAGAATATCCGACAGTGGCACTGTCTTCTTATGGAAGAACCATTTGCACTTCTAAGTGGGGTGGGGTCTCATCACCTGGCCTCAGCTAGCAGCCCCCCTCCTTGATGGGAGGCCCAGGGGCTGTCCACACCCTGGAGGAGAAACAGGTTCTTAGAGGTAGAGATGTGTAGGGCGAGCGCTACGTGTACACGTTTACACCTGCGTGCCGGTCGTTTGGGTGTCCTTCAAGTCTGGTTCTGACTAGGTGTGACTCCACCGTGAGTAGAGCTGATGTATTTCTGAACCAGCCCATCCCAATGCCTTAACTTCTTCCCACGGCTCCAGGTCTACGGTGATAAAGATGCTGATGGATTCTACCGCGGGGAAACCTGCGCCCGGCTTGGCCTTATTCCTTGTAACATGGTCTCTGAAATCCAGGCAGACGATGAAGAGGTGATGGAGCAGCTCCTCAGACAAGGCTTCCTCCCCCTGAACACACCTGTGGAGAAAATAGGTAAGAGGCAACCCCTGGCTCACCCGTGAACCTGTAGGCTGCGAGGCTCCTGCCCTCCTGAGGGTTTCATAGCAAAAACACCAGCTCAGAGGAGACAGCGCTGCGCAGGATCCCACCTGCACCATCTGAATGTGTCAAGGGAAATCCGAGTGTTAACTTGGCTTTCCTTGGGCAAAAGCCACTCGGTAAACCAGGCTTGTAATAGTCTTGCTGCGATATGGACGTATAGGCATCTAAATATTTATGAAACCACAGATGGTCTTCTCAGGGAAGATGAAGTACAGCCTTGCTTACTAAAGGTCTATCACATCTAGAAAATAAACAACTGCTTTTGGGTGGTTCTGGACTGACTGTGTCCCCCCAAAACTCATTCATTGAAATCCTGACCCCCAGTGTGATTAGGAGGTGCGGCCTTTGGGAGTGATGAGGTCATGAGGGTGGAGCCCCCCGGATGGGATTAGTGCCCTTATAGAAGAGACCACAGAGAGGCCCCTCACCCCTTCCCTCATGTGGGGACACTGTGAGAAGTAAGCCATCTGTATGCCAGGAAGGCGGGAAGAAGGTCCTCACCAGACACCAAGTCAGCCAGCACCTTGGTCTTGGACCCCCAGCCTCCAGGACTGTGAGAACTAGATATTTGTTGTCTAAGCCACCCAGTCTGTGGCACTTTGTTATATCAGCCTGAATGGACTAAGACACTGGTAATATACTTTGAACGTTGCGTATCTATGATAAATTTCAAAGGATGATGGGGTAGTATTATGCCTTCCATTCTTCAGGTGAATTTTGCTTATCCAAAAGGCATAAAAGATTTTTACCCTTTAATTTGGATACTAAATGCCTTCGTTTATCTTGAACCACTCTGCAGCACCAGTGAGCCAACCAACAGCAAAACTGTTTTCAGCAACATTACACTTGCGACCTTTGAATTTTCCCCTGTGCAAGGAAAATCTCCTCATCCAAAAGGCCTCTACTTCCTAAATGGCTGTAGACAGATACACCTGTGTTATGTCATTCGTATCTAAAGTTTTAATACTTCAAAACATTAGAGTCACTTCTAAATGACACTCCAAAGACAAAATTCAGTGGTTAAAGAGTATGCGTGGTTTTAAGGATAAACACAAAATCAAATAAAACGCCTCAGGCTTTTTGGTATTCATGAGCTCATGGTCTCAGGTTACGATCCACGTGGAATAGTCGAGGTTTCATATGATTAAATTGCCCAGATTAAATCCACGAGACTGCAGCTCTCTGAGCCCCTCACACCATCCACTCCCTTGCACTGCTGTCTTCTTTCCTGAAGTGGACAGTGAGTGTTCCTAGAGGGAGCGGGCTCTGTGCACCACAGACCCAGGGAGCCTAGGAGTGATCTGCTAAAAAACAGACACTTGATTTACGTGATCAGATAGATTAAATGTCTTTTTATTCCATTCTAGTTTTCTAAATATGCCTAGTTGAGGGAACCAAGCTGAGATATCTGCTTGCCCCTCTATTGTTAGGAAATAGCCTTCTTCATGGTGAAAGACCGAATGCTTTCCTCCCAAGACTGGGAGTAAGGCTGCGATGCCTGCCCTCACCTCTTCCTTCCAGCATCACGCAGAGCGTGCAGTACGGGGAGAGCCAGGAAGCAGCGGTACACAGAAGGAAAAGGTGACATGAAACTTTACTTTAAAAATCTCACATATCTATAAATAAAGCTCCTAGAACTCACAAGTGAGATTAGCAAGGCCAATGGATACAAAAGCAATGGTATTTCCATAGGTTAGCAATGAAAAATTTGAGATTTAAATTTTAAAAGTAATACCACTTAACAATAACACAATGCAGAGGTGAAATACTCACGGTTAAATCCAACAAAATACGTGCAGGATCTGTATGCTGAAAACTATAAAACACTGATGAAAGAAATCAAACAGTCCCTGAGTGAATAGAGACAGAATGCTCGTAGACTTAATACTGCTAAGATATTAAGGTGTCAGATATCCCCAAACTGACCTATAGATTTCATCGCAACTGCAATGAAGGTCTGCGCAAAGGTTTATGTAGAATCCATAAGCTAAATCTTTCATGCATATGAAAAGTCAAAGGAACTAAAATCGCTAAAACAGTTTTTTAGAAGAACAGAAGTGGAAGACTCAACGTAACTTGACTTTAAGACTCACTATAAAGGCAAACTGATCAAGACCATGTAGTATTGGAGAACGGCAGACACACAGATCAACAGAACAGAATGGAGCCCAGAAACAGATCAACACATACACGGTCAGTTGATTTTCAACAAAGGTAAAAATGCAGTTCAGTGGAGAAAGGAGAGTCTATTCAATAATAGGTGCTGGAATTATTGGACATCCACGGGCCAAAAATCAATCTCAAGCCATAGTCTCACCATATTAAAAAACTTAAGATGGAACACTGTCTTAAATATAAAAACAAAGACTATAAAACTTCTAGAAGAAAACATAGAAAAACTGTGATGATAGGGCAACAATTTCTTTGATATGATATATTTTTAAAATTGTGTTAGACGTCATCAAAATCAAATACTTCTCAGCTTAGAAAGACACCGTTAAGAGGATGAAAAGAGAAGCCACAAGCTGGCAGAAAATATTTGCGAGTAACTCGGCAGAAAGGGATTTATATTTAGAATACAGAGAAAACTTTCAAAACTTGACAATAAAAAAAAAACCCAATACACAGAAGTCGAGTCACGGATGTAGAAAACAAACTTATGGTCACCAGGGGATGGGGAGAGAGGGATAAATCGGGAGATTGGGATTGACATATACACACTACTATACACAAAACAGATAACTAATAAGAACGTGCCGTATAGCACAGGGAACTCTACTCAATACTCTGTAATGGCCTACATGGGAAAAGAATCTAAAAAAAAAAAAAAAGGGTGGATATATGTATATGTCTAACTGATTCACTTTGCTGTACACATGAAAATAATGCAACGTTGTAAATCAACTAATACCCCAATAAAAATTTTTAAAAAATTTTATCATAAAAAATAAATAAAACCCATCAATTAACAAATAAAAAAATAGCCCAGTAAAAATGTTGACAAAAGATCTGAAGAGATCCCTTACCAAAGAAGATATTTGGATGGTACATAAACATATGGAAAAATGCTTAACATCATTAGTGAATAAAGCCATGATGAGAAACCAACACACCCACTAGAATGGCTAAAATGAAAAAGACTGCTCATACCAAGTGTTGGCAAGCGTGGAGCAACTGGAACTCTCGTTTGCTTGCGGTGTTACTGAACCAGACTTGGGTCCACTCACCTGATGTGCAGCAAAGACAATTTATTGACATCAGGTTGTGGTGAAGGAAAGTACAGCATTTATTGCAGGCGCCAAGCGAGGGGAACAGGCAAGTCATGCTCAAATGAACCAAACTCCCAGTGGCTTTCAGGGAAGGGTCTCTGAAGCAAGGTGAGGGAGGGGGCTTCAGGGTGCCTGGTCAGCTTGTGGACCGTCTTCTGATGGGTTGGTGGTGAGGTAATTGGGAATCAACATCATCAATCTTCTGGTTCCAACCAGTCTGGGGTCCGTGCTGGTGGTCGGCAGTTAACTACTTCCACCGGCTGGAGGTTTTGGTATCTGTAAAACAGCTCTCAGAATAGTACCTATAGCCTTGAGGAGGAGCTGAGGATCCTTGGCATCGTTTTCTGGCTAAACTATTGTTACTTTGTGTTGCTTGACCTTTTTCCCTTGTTTCCACATTTTCTCGCATTTCTGATTACATTTGCTCTTTGGAACTTGGGGAAGGCCTAGGAGGCTATAGCTTTTCTACAAACAAGAGGCAGGGGACACCGTGTGGCAGGGGGTGGGGTCTGTCCCCAGGAAGGCCCTGTAGGGTTCTGCTCGGTTTCCCTGGAGTGTAAGATGCTACAACCACTTTGCAAAACAGGTATGGGTTCCTCTAAAGTTAAACCTACACTTGCAATCCAGTCCTATCCACTCCTGTATACTTACCCAAGAGGCATGAAAACACGTTCACACAAAAGGCTGTACGTGAGTATTTATGGTGGTTTGACTAATAATCACTGATAAGGGGAAACAACTCAAATGTCTTCCAGCTGGTAAATGGATAAAATAACTATGGTGCCTCCGTACAACGGGATACTACTCACTGCTAAAAGTAGAACAAACTATTGATCCGTGCAGTAACGTGAATGGATCTCAGATGCATTGTCCGAAGGAGAGAAGCCAGTCTCCAAAAGCTACATCTGTGTGATGACATTTAAACGATATTCTGAAAAAGGCAAAACTGTTGGGACAGAAAACAGGCCAGTGGTTACCCAGGCTGGAGGTGACAACAAGGGGGCATAAAGGAATTTTGGGGGGTGACGGAGCTTCAATATCTTGACGGCTGTGGTGGTTATAAGACCGCGTGAGCTTATCAAAACTTGCTGAAGTGGGCACTAGAAAGAGTGAATCGTATTGTATGTAAACTACGCCTCAGTACAGAACATGCGTGTTGTCATTGCCCCCTTCAGAAATTCATCCCTGCAGAAAACATCCCCCGTGAAATCCGCAGTATTTAGCAGCACTGTACTTAACCTCTGGTTACCACTGTACTTTGCTTCAAGGAAACATATGTCCTGCAGGTCCTGCAAAGGTGTGCTTGCTTATTTTAAATGAAAGCAGAGATTCTTCTGTGTTTTTTTAAATTTATTTATTTATTTTGGGCTGTGTTGGGTCTTCGTTTCTGTGCGAGGGCTTTCTCTAGTTGTGGCAAGCGGGGGCCACTCTTCATCGCAGTGCGCGGGCCTCTCGCCATCGCGGCCTCTCTTGTTGCGGAGCACAGGCTCCGGACGCGCAGGCTCAGCGGCCATGGCTCACGGGCCCAGCCGCTCCGCGGCATGTGGGACCTTCCCGGACCGGGGCACGAAGCCGTGTCCCCTGCATCGGCAGGCGGACTGTCAACCACTGCGCCACCAGGGAAGCCCCGAAAGCAGTGATTCTTGACCAGGAGCTGAGGGTTGAATTTTGCACACCCACTGCAGGCCCTATACCTGCCACAAGCCACTGCAAAGCCACGTAACTAACGTTAGTTGCTTTCAAAACACCTGCCTTTGAGAGTTTTCATTTCTATGTTTTGAATTCCAAAAATTCATTGTAGGTGAAAAGCAGCTGTGTTTAGAAGAAATGCTTCAATGCCGGCTTTCTCCAGGAGAAATACCATTTAGAACTGCAAACAACAGCGGGTTTGCCAGGGAGTTCGACAGTCTGGGCCAGATCCCACGGTTCTCCACGGACCCTTCTTATAAACGGCTGTTTTCAGAGTTTTCGCCTCTGCTCTGCTCGGGGTTTCCTCTTCCCTCCCGGCTTGTGCTGCCGTGTGTGCTGGGATAGTGCCCTGGGGCTCCGTCTATGGCAGATCACAGCCAGGCAAGGGGAGGGGGCCTCCCCAGAGCCTTCCCCACAGGCGGCATCGTTTCGGGGGCAGCTGTTGAAAGCACAGTGGCAGGGCGCTGGAGGGGAAAGCGGTGGGAGGGACCCTTGCGATGGGTAGAGAGGGTGCCGCTTTCTGTGGATTCTCGCTTCTCTTGATGCCAGGCCGGTGGCCGTGCCTCTGGTCTGAGCGAGAATGACTTGATTCTCTGGCTTCGCGGCAGCTACACGGGCAGCAGTTTTGACCCGGCGTTTGCGGGGCTTCCTGCGAGCGAGCTGCCAACCTCCAGCCAGCCCGGTGGTCCTGCCCGTGCTGCACCCACCCGGTGCCGGCCTGAACGGTTTAGATCGACTGTTGCAGAGGATCAGTCTAAGTGTCCCTTGTTCACGGATGTGCTGGAGAAAGGGGTGGGAGCTGCCCTGGCTTTGCTGGCACTAGTGCCCAGTGGCCGCCTCGGCCACACTGGCCATCTGTGACCCGGCTCTGAAATCCCTTCATGGTGTCTTTCTTCTTCTCCTGTGACGGGAACAGAGAGAAACAGAAGGAGCATCAGGCAGCCCTCGGTGGCGACGCGGAGGATGGTTGCCCTGTACGACTACGACCCGAGGGAGAGCTCGCCCAACATCGATGTCGAGGTACCGGCCAAGCGCCCCACACCTCTGCTGACAGCACTGCTGCCTCCCTGCCTTCTCTGGACCCGTCCGAGGGCAGGGCTACCCGACCAGTAAATAGGGACCCAGGCAGGCAGGAGAGAGGTCGTGAGCCTGGTGACACGCTCAGGACATGGCAGCCACTGACATTGGGTTTCCCTGGACCAGCGCCGGGCAAGCCCTGTGACCCACACCTGGTGGTGATGGGTCGTCCTGGAGAGAGAAAGCAAAGTCCCCTGCATGTGGCCGCTGACCCTCATGGCCGCCACACACACATTCAAGGAAGATAGAGAAGAAAGGATGGGTGTTCTCCGTGCATGTAGTTTTGGGGTCCTAGGAACTTTGTGAAAGCTGAAAAGGATTTGCCTTCAGAAATGAACGATTAGGTTTCCAGTCCGTGGGGCCGCTTTCTTAGATGGCGAGATGTGTACCGATCCCTGGTCCTCAGTATTTCTGTTCCGCCTGACGGGCGAGCAGCTCATGGCTCCGATTCAGAGCTCAGGTGTATTCACATCTCTACAGGCTCGATGCGCGTAGATGCCTGATGGCTCTTACATGTGAACTTTAGTCCCTCTTTCCGCGTCGAGAGATAAAAATGCAGTTTTTTCTGGTATCCTCTGCTGGATTCTATGCACCCACCTCTAGCCTGGAGCCTGGCATAGAGCAGACACTTAATAAATAGACATTTAATTACTGATTTTTTTTTTACACTCACTGAAAGGCTGTTTGTGCAATGGTCCCTACGCTGCAGAGAACATCTCCTTGAGGCTCCGGGTTTTTTAAGTTGACTATTTGGTTCTAAAGATGTGCCGCCAGCAGAACATGGGGACGACCTTGAATTCTGGCCGAGAATCAGAGCCCGGCAGCCCTTTTCTTGTAGGCTGGAGTCATCATGACATATCCTTACTTTCTAAGAGGCTAGGGACAGAGGCATTCATCAGATTTGTACCTTTCCTCCTTATTTGACTGAAAGAATAGGTTCATACCAAAATAATAAGAGAAAAAGAGAAATCATACCAGAAATCATGAAGAACTTTTTTTTTTTTTTTTAAAAAAAGCAGCTTCTGTCTCCAGGAGAACACTTTTAACTTTATGTTCTATCTCTACAGGCTGAACTTACATTTTGCACTGGAGATATTATTACTGTTTTTGGTGAAATTGATGAAGATGGATTTTATTATGTAAGTTTTGAAGCGTCAAGTATATATATATATAATTTTGTTTGTCTGTTGTTTTCCCTGAAATCATGTATGAACTTTGTATGGCTTGCTGACGGGTTGGCTAATTTGCTTGTCTCCCTTCCTGAGGACATATACTATAGGACGGCAGTCGTGTAATCTTCACGGTTCCTTCTTTTCTAATCGGGGTATTTTTGACGTATACAAGCTGTCAGCAAAGGAAGGGTATTCACATGTTTACACTTAAAATTTCCTCCATCCAGACCTTTACCAAACAGTTTAATGTTCTGGATTACTTACTGCGTAGGTAATAAATACATTTTCAAATAGGAAAAGGGAGAAATACAAAGAAGCATAATTAATTAACTAAAAGCCTCCTCGCTGACCTCCTTCGCGCAGCCCTGTGGACCCAGCCTCTGGGGGGCAGTCCTGGTTCTACGCCGGCGCCAGCCTCCTTCCTTCTCATTCCCCTTCCCGTGGAGGAGCTGGTCTCCCCATAATCCCCGAGGAAGAGAAGGAGGTCATCTTGGCGGCTCCTGCCCGGCCAGACACCCACCGCTGTCCCCTGCCTTGGGAGTGGGGTCACCATCTTGCATCAGAGTCCAACCTTCCTCCTTTTTCTTTTCTTTTTCTAAAATAATCAAAGTAGCTGAGAAACTCTATGGCAGGTTTCCCTTGGGGTCAAAGGGTTTTACAAACTCAGGCCCACGTGGCCTTTCAAAGCTCTCTCCTCTGCGCAGTTTCTGAGTTTTAAGAGTATAGTTTTTAGTGAGACTATTCATACCGTTACCGACCAGGGTTCTCGGCCCCCTTAATCAATAGATATTGATCAGAGGCCAGACAAGAAGTTCAGGCAAGGCTTTACTGGGGCCCCTGCTGCAGCAGGGGGAGCGAGAACCAGTAACAGGTTCCCTTGATCGCTCCCTGAGGGGGTGCGAGCTTGTTCCTTCTGTGGGGTGAGGGTAGGGGTGTGTCCAGGGGTCGGGCTGGAGGCGTGGCTTAGGAGGTCTGCCCACCCCTTTGGTGGTGCTGAGTGCAGGGGGCGTGCGCGGTGCCCTGCTTTTGCTCCTGACACCCTGTTTTTGCTCCCAGCTCTTCAGAAGGGGCAGTTGGGTTTTTTTTTTTTTTGGTCTTTTTGTACCTTGTTGTCCATAATTTGCCCCAACTGTGCATGCATGCGGTTATTCTTAGTCCCTTATAGTTTCTTTGTATTTTGTTGCTTGAGGAGATGACATCTGTCCAGGTACAAGCCCTGCAGCAAAGGGTCCCAGGTCCCAGCCTGTCTCGATACTTTGTCCCGTATGTTGCAGATCGTTCTTTTCTAGGTCATTGTCTGCTTTGTAGCTTTTCCTTGTGTGTGTGTAGTTTTGTTACTTTGTTTTCCTTTCTGAAGCAGGAGTTCTAAATGCGTCCGTAGTCAGTTTCGTCTGCCCCTGGGAGTCATGCTTAAAAAGTCCTTCAAGGCGACTGATAGAAGTTATCTTACTTCGGTTCTTCACTTTTATAGCTTCATTTTCACATGTAAATCTCAAGTGTTTAACTTTATTTTTGATTTCTAATTGGAGAAACTAATGTCCCCACACCACTTATTAAATAATCCGACCTTTCTCCGCTGGTTAAAGATCCCATCTTTCTCCTATGAACTGCATTCCTACCTAGAGTGTTTCTGGACTTCAATGCTACTTGACACTATCTCAATTATTGTATTTTTATAATTCATTTTCATATTTGGGAGGAACCGTTTTTGTAGAGCCTGCCTACAACAAACCCATAGTATTTTGTTTAGAGGTGCGTTTAGCTTTTAGGTTAAACTGGGGGGAACTTGACATAATATTGTCTTCTGATTTGGACACATGGTGTGTCTGACATTTTTTAAGTTTTCCCTTTCATCTGTCAGAAGGTTCATGAATTTCTTCTTGCACATCCTTTTATATATCTTTCAAAGTTCATTCTTATGTTCTTGCTGTTATGATTTTTTTCTGGTATATATTTTACTGGTTATTTAGAAAATATGTTGGAAATGTGTGTGTGTGCATGTATCAGTGTGTGTATGTGTATGTGTGCAACATACACGTGTGTGCATATGTGTACATGCATATGTACACGTGTACATGAATTGTATGTGCACGTGTATATTGTGTGTGCACGCATATGTGTGTGTGCGTGTGCATGTTTATGTGTGTGTACTTTGTGCCCATTTATGTGCACGTGTGTGTGCGTATGCATGTGCATGTGTGTGTATATATCATGTGCCTATGCATGTGCACGTGTGTGTGCGTATGCATGTGCGTGTATGTGTATATATCGTGTGCCTATGTATGTGCACGTGTGTGTGTATGTGTGTGCATGTTTGCGTGCATGCATATGAATGCACTGTGTGCCTGTTTATGTGCATGTGTGTTTATGATCCCCTGCAAATCTTTTTTCTGAATGCATTTATATCCATTGTCATCAGTTGGTTCTCTCGGGTTCCCCAAATCATGACATTTTGTCTTTTCTTCAGTATCTATCAGTCATCTCTTTTTATTGTCTTATTATTGCATCATTGAAAACAATTCTGAATGACAGGGACAGGGGATCCCTGACAGTCTGTATTTTAGTAGGAATATCACTAATCTTTACACTGTTATGTGTTAGGCTAGATTATCGATAAAGATAGGTGGTCTTTATCATGTTAAGCATCCTGTTTTTCATTTGCTGAACTTACTTTTTTTTTTGTCAGTAAATTACTGACCATGGTGTACAACTATTTTTTTTACAATTATTTTTAAAGCACTGGATTTGACTTGCTAACATTTTATTCAGAAGTTATATTTATATTCCAGAAATTATATTGATTTATATTTATTGGAGTATCTTTTTTTGTGGCTTTTGGTATCAGGATTATGCTAGAATTATGAATGAACTGGTAAGCTTCCAGTATTTTTCATGCTCCGAACAGATTAAAGGACATAGTTAAGGTCCTACAATTACATGAAGGTTATTACAACCTACCTAAAAATCTTATAGGTTCAGTGTCTTTTTAGGATGCAGTTGTACAAAAGTTTTCACTTGCTGAAATAATTATCTTCTTATTGAGTCAATTTTTAATACTTTATATATATTTAGAAAGCCATGCCTTTCATTTAGATTTTCAAACATATAGACAAAACTGGACATAGTATTTTCTGGTAATTTAAACATATTTTTCTAATATGATCTGCATGTTCCCATTCCTACACTGTTTTATCTACTTTATTTTCTTGAACAGCCTACCTAAATTTTATATGATAGTAGGAATCAGATCTAAATTGATATGTACACGTTTTAGTTCTTTCCACCAGATGGCTTTAGTATTATTTTGTTGGTCAAATTTGCTGAGTAGACTGCCCAGTGCAGTTATTTTTTATTTGGTAAACAAGAACCGCGGATACCTAACTTAATACCAAACATCTTAAATTTCGCCACACTTGCGTTGTCTGACATCATGTGCAATCTTAAAAGCTCTCAAGAGAGCTAACCTGCAGCTGTTTCATGGGACCTCGTCCTGTCATGTCTTCCTAGTCTCTCCTCGGTTCTACCACATCCCATAATGAACAGAGTGTAGACAGAGGGGCCTCTGCTGTCTACCTGGGCCTTCCCCTCCACAACTCACGGCATCCCCAGTGAAGTCCCTGCCTTGTCTCCAGTCATTTGAGACTCCCAGCACCCCACAGTGCTTTAACCCTCACGCTGTGTTAGCCAGATGCTTGCACCGCCCAGTGTTTCAACACCCAAACTCTTAGATCATATACTTCGATAGGTCAGAGGGAAACAGGCCGTACAGTAGCATTCTAAGGTATTAAAGGAAGCAAAGGAGGAGAAGTGTGCAAGCGTGATGGGGCCTCGTGCTGACTGGGCATGGGGAAAAAGGGGCCGGGGTAGACTGTAACGTTTTCTGCCGCTCAGCCCAGCCCAGCGGATTCCAATCCTGTTCGACCTGTAAGGTCTTCACACGGTTCGTATCCGGCTTCAAACACAAAAGCGGTAGAAATGAGGCTTGAGGAGGAGCAGAGATCAGACTGTGAAGGGTCTGCAAGTGGGGGAGATGTTATTATGGTCAAGGGCTTCGCAAGTGGACCGTGTAAGGGAGGTGCGAGTCCCAAGAGGCCAGGCGACGGGCGATGGAACGGCCCAGGTGACGGGCAAGGGCCTGCACTGAGACGGTGACGGGGGAGGCTGACAGAGATAGGCTCGAGGCCGCGCAGGGCTCAGATCTGTAGCTGTGACATCTTCCAGGAGGGTCTGCAGATTCTGCCGCAGCCGATGGGTGCCCTTGGGAACACAGAAATGAGGACACGGTAGCGAGGAAAACACGGCTTAGAAACTATTGAGCTTGGGGCTACAGAGCCTCTCCAACGTGGAGGGGGACTCACGCAGGAGCGTGATTCTAGCGACCACGTCCTGTGCCGGGGTACGTGGTGGTGGACGCCAACAGTGAAGTCGTGTCGTGTGCACTTTTGACGTGTGATTTAGCAGAACTGTGCTGGGAGGCTCAAGAGAAGAGAGGAAACAATGAAGAGCACAGGCAGGTCCCTCCACCGCTGTATCGGGGAGCCCAGGGCAGGGCTCAGCCCGGGAGCCTGAACACGCAGGCCCCTGGCGGTCGTGGTTCACACAGGTGCCTCTTGAGATGTGAACACGGTGCTGATGGGGATGTGTGTGTAAAGCTGTGCCTTTTCATAGAATGTAGCCCCCACCACGAGCCAGCTGCTCCATCTGGTGCTTACCTCTGGTGCTGGAGGGAAAATCTGGCTGGGGGACCTACTGAGAGGTCTGGACTGGACAGACGTTCCAGCGCCTTCGCATATATACATGTTGTCTGCAAGCGCTGGCGTGGAAGAAATCACCAGGGAGACATGCACAGCAAAAAGCAAAGCTGTCCTAGAAAGAGTGCCTAAGTAACACCAACGGAGAAAGACAAGCTAACGGTGGAGCCTGAGGAAGAAGGGTTGAAGCGGCCACAGGTAAACAGGAGGGCGGGATCTTCAGGGTCTAGGCAGAAGGAGCTGGTGGGCGACAGGGCACGTGGCTGTCGGGCTCAGGAGGGATTATCACACAGGAAGATGTGGGGGGTACCTGGACCTGCCTCTTTTAAAAGAATTAATTTTAATTTTTAATTGTGAGAAAATACACATAATTTACCATCTTAATCACTTCTAAGTGTACAGTTCAACAGCGTTAAGTACACTCACACTGTCGTGCAACCGTCACCACCATCCATCTCCAGAACTCTTTCCATCTTGCAAGATTAACTCTGTCCCCATCAAACACCAAGTCCCCACTGTCCCCTCCCGCTGGCGCCCACCCTTCTCCTTTCTGTCTCTAGACTCTGACTGCTCTCCGGACCCATGTAAGTGGAATCACGCAGTATACGTCTGCTTATGACCCTTCACTTAGCATAATGTCCTCAAGGTTCGTCTCTGTTGTAGCATAGGTCAGAATATCCTTCCTTTCTTAAGGCTGAGTAACACTCCACTGTACCACATTTTGTTTATCCATTCACCCGCTGATGCACAGCTAGGTTGCTTCCATCCTTTGGCTATTGTGAAGAATGCTGCTATGAATATAGGTACACAATTCTCTCTTCAAAATTCTGCTTTCAGTTCTTCTGGGTAAACACCCACAAGTGGAATTGTTGGATCATATCATATGGTAATTCTATTTTTAATTTTTTGAGGAACCACCGTACTGTTTCCTCCATAGTGGCTGTACCGTTTCACAGTCCCACCAACAGTGCACAAGGGTTCCAATTCTTCCGTATCTACACCAACATTAAAATGTTTATAGTAGCCATCCTAATGGATGTGAGGTGGTGTCTTGAGGTTTTGATTTACGTTTCCCTAATGAGTAGTGATGCTGAGCATCTTGTATGTGCTACTTAGCCATCTGTCTTTTTCTTTTTCTTTTTTTTTGAGAAATTATCTGTTCAAGTCCTTCGCCCACTTTTTGATTGGGTTGTTCATTTTGTTAAGTTGTAGAAGTTCTTTATATATCCTTTATAACCCCTTACTAGATATATGACTTGCAAGCATTTTCTCCCATTCACTCTGTTCATCACGTTCCTGGATGCACAGTTTTTCATTTTGATGCTGTAGGCTGTCTTTCAAGTTGCCACCATCTCCTACACCTACTGGACAGAGAAACACACTCCCAGGTTGTCTGGGGCCAGTTTTGAGCTTGGTTTTGGGTTCTGTGGGGCAAGGTGGCACTGGGGGGGTTGATGTGGTGGGCTGTGAGCTGCTCGGGACTGATGTCCAGTGGGCAGTTGGAACTGTGTTCCATGCACGGACACGTGACTGCGTAGAAAGGTCCGGAAGGATATATACCGACCTGAAGCAGTCACCTCGAGGAGGTGCCAACGCCTTCACCTTCCCCTCTTGGGTGCATTCTTACAGCGAGGCTGTAGCGACGCACAGGATGAAAGATACCAGGTGGAACCGGTCGGCCCCCTCAGTCCTGCCCCCGCATGTGACACCCACCCCCACTCCCCTCTCTCAGTGCACCCAAGCAACGCTATTTGTGCAAGCTCCCGTGGGACTCAGAGGTTGGTCAGGGCTGAGGACCTCTAAGTGAGGTGCTCCCCAGGACTGTTCCTAAGCGTGCCTGACCCTGAGAACCACCCAGGCCCCTTGGCCAAAACAGGTCCTCAGCTCCGCTCCAGACAGGCCAGCTCGAGACCTCAGGGCAGGCGCCGGGACCCTGCGCTTCGAGCACGTGGCCGAGCTCACTCTTGTGGTCAGGGGAGTCCGGGAGCACTGGCGTCCCGGTCTGTCTGCCACTTCTGAGCCAGAAGAAACTCGCTGCTCTGAGCTGTACTCCTTTACCTGAAGCAAGAAGCAGGTTTCTGGAAAAAGAGAGTCAATTGTGCTTCTCACCCCTGTGTTTTTAGGGGGAGCTTAATGGGCAGAAAGGCCTCGTACCCTCCAACTTCCTAGAAGAAGTACCTGATGACGTAGAAGTCTATCTTTCTGACGCGCCGCCCCACTACCCGCAGGACACGCCGACGCGCTCGAAGACGAAAAGGGTAAGCACGTGTGTTCAGCACTTTTAACCCCTGTCCCACTCCGCCACAGACGGTCTACTGCAGTCTCTGCATTGCTTTTTATGTCTTAGGTCGAAAAGCATATACCCTGAATTTTTCCTCTGCCCTCCCATGGGGGTTGTGCCTAAAAATTCCTAATTCCAAATCAAGTTTACTTGTTTCACCAAAATGCCCCTTTCAATCTAATCAGTCTGCTTTGCTCACAAAGGAACTTGCCATCCTACGTCACAGACGCACAGTCCAGTTTAAGAGTGAAACGGGGATGGCGATAGTCCTTAGACTCGGTGGGCAGTAATGGTTATTTGCCCTGTCAGGGTTTTAACAGATCTTCTCAACAAAGGTCAAAGAACTTCTCAGCCATATATAACTGTCAGATTACATTTGTTTGGTGTCTCATTTTTATTTTATTTCATCACTGCGAGTTTTTATATATTATATTTTTATATATATTTTATTTCTTTGCTCATCTGCTTGGAAACAGAAGAAGAGTGTGCATTTCACCCCTTAATCAGGCAATGTAGCCTTCACGTAAGTGAGCAACTGAAGATACCTGTAAACATAGCAACCTAAGCTACCTGCAGTGGACCAATGCGGTAGACTTAAGGCTTCACTGGGGGGCTAAAAAAAAGAAGAAATATGTCTCAAAAACTCACTGGACCTAAAGTGTTATTGGTCTCAGTTGTAAAGCAACTGAATTTGTAGAGAAATAAATCAGCTTTGATAATCATTTCCTACGATTTACGTTAAGAATATTTGGAAGAGGCCAACATTGGGAACATATTTCTTAACAGGCTAATTGTTTGTTTACACAGTGTTCCAATGTCTAGTCATAATTCAAGCTGCATATTGCATTGTTAGCCACTCTTGGGAAAAGCACAACCTAATAAAATGTTTCCTCTGGAAATTTTACCTAAAAAAAACCCCGCAACTCAAGATCGAGCGGATGAGTAGTGAACACGAGGTGATCTAGAGTTGCCTCTGAACGCTCCCCATGCTGCCTGGAATGGCAGGCAGCTTTTTCTTAAGTGACCGTCCCTCTACCTTACGGGAGAGCTGATGCGTCTCCTCAAAGCACAAGCAAGTGTCCTGAACACGCAGGCGTTTGGCTGGAAGACTGCTTTGTTGGCATACCAATGCAATACCAAGTTTAATGAAACATGCAGCTCAAATGATTGCATTAGATGGAATAGATGGTATCTTCAGGTGTACTTTGGGATGATTTAGTAGGTGTTCTCCATTAGAATTAGACCCTGATTTTAAATCCAAGGAAGCTTGAAGCCCCTGGGCTCCTGTCTGCCTGATGAATAACGAGTCCTCGTATTAGAAAGAGCTTTGCTCTGGTGGGGTAAGGGAGCAAGAGGAAAGGTGGTGTTATGTAATCGCAGGCATGCATGCGACCGTAAACGCGGGTGAGCCCACGTCGTCATGCCCGCGTTAGAATACAGTTCCGCTCCTGCAAGGCACCGGGAAGCACTCGAGAGCACGGAAACCCTACCATGTGCTCTGTATCGACAAAAACGCACCTTTAATATCTTGGAAATAATGAGAGCGTACAATAAGGGCCTTTAAGCTTTCTTTGATTGAAATTAAGGTTCATTTTATTTTTTTTATTTATTTTTCTTTCAACCGGTGCGCCATCTCCAGTATTTCTCTAGTATACTAGCCCAGGAATGTACTCAACGTCAGGATCTCACATGCCCAAGTAGTTTTCAAATTCGAAATTCCCCTTAAGAACTTCTGCTTTTAAGATTACTGACGGGTACTCAGCCAGTCTTACTCTCTACCTACCTAATTCAAAATGACTCCTCCTTCCTGCTTCTGGTCTTAAGTTACAAAGTCAGTGATTACCCAGCTCTGTGTTGCCAGAGCAATGGCCACTCCCTCCCCTGAACACAAAGAAACCGAAAACCCCACACTGCCGGCCCTCTGTCTGGGGGCCCTCAGACCCCGCCTCTGAGCTATGCCGTGGGAGGGCCGTGTGCCTCTCACGGGATACTTCAACCCTTCAGAGAAGAAACGAACCACGCTCACCTTGCCTGGTGGGAAGCGGGGCCGTGTGGCGTCACTGATGCTGCGCGGCGAGCGGAGGGGTGCTGCCGGCGCTCGCGCACTCAGTGACCTGTACCAATGTGCCTACTAGGTTCCTCCTGAGGGTTCAGGTACAGCCAGGAGAGTACCATCTCCCACAGCCCATCTCCATTCTGGGCCACCTACGTCATCTATGGGTACTGGTAGTCCTGGGAGAGGCAGGGAAATGTCCTCGAGAAAGAAAAAGGGGCTGCTTTCCAAAGGCAAGAAACTGCTGAAAAAGCTGGGTGCAGTGAAATGATTCACGTGCTTCCGGACAACTTCCAAATCTATGTAATTTTCTTTAATTCCAAACTAGGGCTTTCATGACTCAAGTACTTCCTAAAAAACCAATCTTCTCCCCTGACACCAGTAGAGAAATGCTCTTTGCACTACCGTCCACTTTAAACCCAGCGCCAGGACACAGAGCTGCTGGTACTCCCGCCGGGCCTCCGCGCCCATCGCTCTTGTTATTGCCGGGCCCTGGCGGGAGCTGGGCTGTCTCGTGAGCACACAGGGCGGCCAGTAGCTCTTTGTAGCTCACTCCCTACCTGGGGCCCCAGCCTTTGTGCATTTGTCATCTGCCCTTGAAGGAATGATTCCAACCTCGCTCCCTTTTCAAAAATGCTTGCCTCATGACGCATAACTCTCACTTGAACTCTGGTCTTGAAATTCCTAGTTTAACCGCCTTGATGTCCTGCCTTATAAATGCACAGTGATCTGTACTGTCCAATAAAAGCTACGGTGTACACGTTGTATGTGTTGTGCATTCAGTGCCCTCCACCCTCACAGACACAGTGCTTTGAGACCAAGTTGCACAGGCTGTGCAGTGATAAGATCCTGGTTTTCTGTCTTTCGAAGCAAGCCAGGCGACACACAGGAAATGTTTACTTATTCAAATCATTTAAAAAAGAGGAGAGGAAGTAACTTTGGTAAAGTACCACTACTCCAACCTGCCAAAAAGCTGGTAATATTCATTGCTTTCAGTGTTACATTTTGTGGCATATGGACTTACGTTACTTTCATTATTTGTCAAAATGCCATACACAGATAATCAACAATGAACAGCCTACACGTAAAGCAATCCACATAAGCCACACCGAAAACATACTAACTTTAAGTCTGTTCAAAATGACTCCACACCAGTCTTCACCATTGGCACCCGAACAACAACAACAAAGATTTACAGAGTTGCTGGCAGATGTATTTGATGGTTACTATTTTGTAATTCTTGTCCACTTGTAAATTGTTTTTACTCTTTATACATACTTTTCAGACTGCCTTTCTTTTGTAATTTATGGGAGGTTTGTAAATGAATGATGACGCTTTCCCCATTGTGTCTTCAAAAACTATATTGTAAATTGTAATATAATAGTATGTGGTAGATTTATTAAAAGGAAATTACTCAATGTGTGGTTAAGTTCTGTGTGGGTGTGTGCATGTGTACAGCTAGTGTAAAATATTTTATAGAAATAAAATTTCTTATTTTATACAACGCCATTTATTCTGTGTTTGTTTTGAACGCTTTTTTTTTTTAAAATCATAGCAGCCTAACTGAATTCCTTTCTCCTATACGTACAAGAAAAACTCTATAACGTTACCTTTTCTGGCAGTACTTTTGTTCTAAAGCAGTTCTGACCTGGGAGTCATTTACAAAGTGCCGTCACTCTCGCATTGTTGGTGACGATCCACTCAGCGGCAAAAGAAAGGTGCTACGCCTGAGTGCTTCTTGTGAAATACTCACGTGCAGCGAAGATGTCGAGAGTGAGTTCAAACCATATTCATAACACCTCCCTTTGGCAACTCCAGAATTCAAATGATCTGAATAAAGAGCTACACCAGCTAAATATAATAAAACACAACTTAATTTTTCAAATACAAAGCATTTTCCTGAAATCCTTAATTATTTTAAAATTCTCCCAATAATAGGGTTTATTATCATTAAGAGGTAAAACCAACGTGCAAGGTGAAAATATAATTCAAATGCATAACTTTATGAAACTGTATACAAGTATATAAAATAACTGCTATCATAATGTCATTCACGTCGAACTACGTTTTCACCTAACGCATTTACAAAAAAGGTTATGTTTGAATAATTGATGACGGAGAAATACTGCATGATCTCACTCATACGTGGAACCTAAAACAGTCAAAAACACTTAGAAGCAGAGGGTAGGATGGTGGTTGCCAGGGGCTGAGGGTGGGGGAAATGGGGAGATGTGGGTCAAAGGGCACAAAGTTTAAGTTACACAAGATGATATCAATTCTGGAGATCTTAAGTTAAAAAAAAAAAAAAGCTGAAATGCTAGATTAAATGGAATGTCTTTAATTTAAAAATATTCCAGTTTAAGAAATACCAGTATAAGAAATTAAAGTCCACACAACAGTGTGAATGTACTTAACGCAACTACACACTTAAAAATGGTTGAAATGGTAAGCTTTATGTTACATATACTTTACCACAGTAAAAAGAAATTAATGACAGTTTCTCCAAAAACATAAAATAAAATAAAATCAGTAAAAGTAGCCAGGATTGAATGTTTTGAACACATTTACAAATTTCCTAAAATATGAAAATGTAGGCAAGCCCAAAGTGATAATGAACTGGACTTATTAGCTTTGGTGAATACTATGAAGCACTTAAGGAATACATACGGCCCACTGTACACAGATTCTTCCAGAGAAGAGAGAAGAAAGAGAAATGCCCAAACTCACGAGGCCGGCATTATCCTGACGCCAAAACTAGGCAAGACGTTGTAAGAAAACTACAGACCAATAGCATCATGAATGTAGATTAAAAAAAAAATCCTTGACCAAACATTAGCAGATTGAATCCAACAATATATAAGGATGATACACTATATTTAACTGTGGTTCAACCCAGGAATGAAGGTTGGTTGAACACGCTGAAGAAAAATCCATGTGTTTTACTGTATTAACAGAACAAAAGAGAAAAGCTACCCAGTCATTTCAATAAATGCAAGGAAAGCACTGGACACAATCAACAACTGTTCAGGAAACCAGGAAAAGAAAGGAATTTACCTCAACTTGGTAAAGTTAACAGTCAACACACATAACGATGAAAGACTGACCACTTGCCCTTTCTGTCAAAAACAAGACAAGGACGTCCACTTGACTACTTGTATTCAACACTATACTGGAGTTTCTAGCCTTGCAATAAGGCAAGAAAAGTCATACACTTTTGAAAGGAAGAAGTAAAACAGTCTTTGTTTGCAGATGACATGACTTTATGCAGAAAATGTTAAGGGGTATCTACAAAACGCGGTTAGTACTAATATGTGGATTTGGCAAGGTGACAGGGTACAAGGTCGACATACAAAAGTCAATTGTATTTCTGTATAAATTGCATATTTTGTATCACTCTCCCCAGCAGGGAACAATTAGACAGAAGTTAAAATATAGATATAACTGATATAAACTAAAGGAAGAAATCAACATAAGCAGTTATAGTAGCATCAAAAACATGAAATTCTTAGGGACAAATTTAACAAAATACATACAAGATTTATATACTGAAGAATGTAAAACATTGCCTAAGACTATGAAAAAGCTCCTAAATAGAGATATAAGAGATGTTAATGGCTTGGAAGATTCAGTATTGTTAAATGCCAGTTTCCTCCCGGTAAATCTACTGATTCTGTGAAATGGCAGTCAAGATTCCAGCAGGCTTATTCCAGAAACTGATAAACTGAATAAAAAATTATACAGAAATGCAAACGACCTAGAATAGTCAAACCCATTTTGAAAAAGATGGACAAGGGGGAAAGACTAACGTTGCCTAATTTTGAGACTTACTGTAAAGCCACAGTAATCAAGGCAGTGGTGTTTGTATGTAAAACACAGCTATATAGAAATAAAGATACATATAAATCAATGGAACAAACAGATGCTTACATATATAGTAAGTTCACTTTCAACAAAGGTGCCAAAGCAATTCAACAGGGGAAATATGGTATTTTCCAGAAATTCTGCAGAAAGAAGGGGGATTCATAGGAGGGAGAACTGACTCTTACCTCATATGATACACAAAATTTAACTCAGAACACAGCCCTAAATGAAAATGTTAAAACTATAAGACTTCTAGAAGAAAACACAGGAGAAATTTGGCTAGAAAGATGTCTTATACAGGACACGAAAAGCACAAATTATAAGAGAAAAAACCCCTGATAACTGGACTCCATCGAATTTAAAAATATCTTCTCTTTGATACTTAAGAAAGCAAAACAAGAAGCCAGCAACAGAGAGGAAACATTCATAGTGCATATATCTGACAAAAGACTTTTACCCAGAATACACAAAGAAATTTTACAATTCAATAAGACCAACCAGTTTAAAAGATAATATGCAAAAGGTCTGAACAGCTACTTCATAGAAGCTATATAAGAATGGCTAATATGCACACACAAAATGCTCAGTATCATTAGTCAGCAGGGAAATGCAATTAATAATCCAAGTGAGATAACATTACACACCCACTAAAATGGAAAGACTGACATCATCAAAGATTGGCGAGGATGTGGAGCAACTGGAACTCTCATGCACTGGAGGGGAGAACAGAAAAGCGTCCAGTCACTTGTCAGCTTGTCAGCTAATTATAAAATCAGAGACACTTAGCATGCAGATCCAGCAATTCTACTTCTATGTATTTACCCAAAAGAAAGAAAAACTGTGTCCATACAAAGGCCTGAACAGAATTTTTCTAGAGTTTATAATAGCCCCAAATAGGAAGCATCCAAAATACCCATCCGTCCACAGTGAATCAACAATGTGAAGTACGACCTTACAGTGGAACCCTGCTTAAGCAAACCAACCAACCAGACAATTAAACAGGTTAACTTCTGAAGCCCTCAGAGCAGAAGCAGCCAGGCGCAGAGGAGTTCACGCACCGTAGGATTCCGTTCACACGAGACCAGAGGAGGTCAAAGGCAGACCGTGGCTGCTTGGGGGAAAGGTGGGAAGGGCTGTTTGCAAAGAAGCAAGAAGGAACCTTCTGTGGGAGGGAATGGACATTTTTCTAAATCTCGATGGTGGCAGAGACACTGGAGTGTATAAAATGGTCAAAAGCTCATCAAGTTGCATTCACTTACATGTAAATCACAATAAAGTTGATTTAGAACAATGGCATGTAAGCTGGATAGGAGGGAACAGGATTCGAGTGCTCAAAGGCTCGTGTGTCGTCCAGAAAGAAGGTATCTATACCACCCCTATCCCCCAGCCTCACAGGCCCCTGAGGCCAGACGGGAAGAGGCGGACCCCCAACAGAAAGGGTGAAAGCATGCAACTCCTCAGTCAGGTGCCTCGTAGCCCAGGAATGATCCCCTACGGGCTGGCTGCTTCCTGGGCAGGTGCAGTCTCTGCTCACCGCAGGGCCAGGAGCCAAGTGCCTGCCTGTGCTAGGGCAGCCCTGCCGCACCACAGCTGAGGCCATACCCCCTCCAAAGGGCTCCCTCCTGCCACACCTGACCAAGCCTCGCACAGGGAGCATATGGGCAAAGATGGACTGGGCAGGACCTCCTTTTCCAGGTACCCACGAAGAAAAAGAATCCAGTGGCAGAACATCTGGTCCTGAGGTGTGGCCAGAAGCTGCGACTTAGGATCCAGGTTTCTCGGAAGCCTGACTGGTTGCTACCCACATGGATGATTTCGCTTCTTTGCCTCGTATAGTATTACTCCAGCTGTTGCTAAGACTGCTGAGTGTTCCTATGTCCAAGTCCCAGGCCAAGAGTCTCACTTATAAGAACCGGGTGGGGGCTTGCCATTAGGAGCTTTTAAAGCCCTCTGGTGACCAGAACACACAGCCCAGGACGAGAACCACTGCGGAGTATACAGGGCTCCCTTGACATTAACATGCATAAGAAGTACAGGGGCTGGCTGACTGAGTTAAGTTACATTAGTTATTTGTCCTTTCAATAAATATCTGAGAACCTGTTACGTGCCAGACATTGATCAAGACGCTCGGAGACAACAGTGGACAAGACACAAAGATTCCTGCCCTCCTGGATTCCTGGAATCATTTGCATTCTAGTGGGGGAGCAGAGTAGAAAAAGCACAACAAGTAATATGCTACTGATACCAGCAAAGCTGGAGAGAGCAGAAAGGCTATGTCTCTGCCTGTGGGATGCTGAAAATTTAGAAAGTGGTCCCTCTGCTGGTGACATCTTAGCTGACCTGAAGGAGCATGTGGAAGTCTGGGCCCGGAGCAGCAGCAGAGGTCCCGGGGCAGGACGCGGGCACCTGGGCGGCACGACGCCACACCCTGGCAACGACTGTCTTCCCGAGGTGGGAACCCACCGCACCGCACGACGAGCAGGTGTGCGACTTGATCACTTTGTTGCAAAAGGACCACTTTAGGAGGCTGTGGTAGTGATTCAGAGACAGTGGTGGCTTGGAAGAGGGGACAGGAACAGTGGCTGGATATTCA